AATGAATTACAGTTATTCTTGAAGGGGAAAAAATCATGATTAAATAAATAACGTGACATTTCTATAGTTTACAGTAACTGCAACTAAAATATATCTGTATATTGGATATCGTTTTATAAAGAATTGCTGATAATTACATGATGATTAAGACCTGACAAACAGTTGAGACATTTCAGTATGTCTCTGATATTCCAGTGCCCAGCGAGAAAGTAGAGTGACAGTCTATTATAAGTAAAGATGAGCGTGCTCACAATAAAGGAAGTCCATGCTGTGTGTGTATGTGTGTGTGCAGCGCTCCAGGGCAGCCTTGCAGAGGTACCTGTTCTACTGCAACCGCTACATGAACCACATGCAGAGTCTGCGCTTTGAGCACAAGCTCTATGCTCAGGTCAAGCAGAAGATGGAGGAAATGCAGCAGCACAACATGTCCTGGATTGAGGTGCAGTTTCTGAAGAAGGCTGTGGATGTGCTGTGCCAGTGCCGCTCCACACTCATGTTCACTTATGTCTTCGCCTTCTACCTCAAGAAGAACAACCAGTCCATTATTTTTGAGGTAGGGCAGTTTTTGGCTCAGATACACTAGTGTGATTGTACCTTTTTTATATGAGATATTTACTATCGTGCTGGAAAATTTTGGTATTATTTGCAGCGGGCATGAATGAATCCAACATGGCATACGAACAAAACTGGACACCTCACCAACCCCAGATGTAACACCTTTTAGCTTTCGACTTTTGTGGAAGCTGTGTTCGTCTCTCCCCCTCTTTCATTCACACAGTTTTTATCTTCATGGATGAACTAAGTGCTGAAGAGCTGTTTTTTGTTTTGTTTTTTAACTACTTTATTAGAAATTCTCATAGATTAGACATTTGTTCCTTTAACTCTATTGTATAGTGGAACGTTGCTTATCTGATTATAATGCAATTATCACTCATCAGAACAACCAGGCAGACCTGGAAAATGCCACCGAGGTGCTGTCAGGCTACCTAGAGAGGGACATCTCCCAGGATTCCTTGCAGGACATCAAGCAAAAAGTACAAGACAAGTACAGGTCAGTGAAGGAAGAACTGTACTGGTGCATGCCATGGCTGACTTTGTGTGTTTTGGAGCTTAAAATTTGTCCTGTGTCTGTAGATACTGTGAGAGCAGGCGAAGAGTGCTGCTACAGCACGTGCATGAAGGCTATGAGAAGGACCTGTGGGAGTACATTGAGGATTGAGAACACGTCCCAATGCAACGGACTCTTGAGTATCTTGACAAACTAGAGCGCTGATGCAATTTAACAGGGCAGCACAGGCCTTCTGCCGCCTCTCCTTTGGCAAACCAACCACTTTTGCATCATTTTTTTTCTGGATTTGTTTAACAAAATCTTCAAAGTAAATTATATTTAAATAAAGGGTAGAGTAATAAAAAAAGTGTACTACAGTATTGTTAGCAACAGAGTGGAGGGTTGAACAAGCAGAAGATCCATATTAAACAAATACATCCTCTTGGCTTGTATTGTAATACCTCCCCTGAACTTGTTTTCCTCATGTTTTTTTTTTTTTTTTTTTGTGTTGTTTTGTTTTTGTTTTGTTTTTTTTTTGCTTGTGAATCTTTTACTCTGTTTTGATTTTGACTTTTGTTTTCCCATCAGTGTGAAAATGTTTTCAACACAGCTTTAATTGTCCTGGCCATGTCTGCAATGTCTGCAATATGTGGTAAAGATCCTTGTCTGAGTGGCTGAATGTTGATAGGCTGATTGCAAAGGGGCAAAGACATTTCAGGGGGGAAAAAAAGGAAGAAAAAAAAAAACATAAAAAGAACAAAATAGCGAGTCTGTATTTTTCAATTTGTAAATAGTCCATATGCATGGAAGTTCAAGAGCAAGAGTGGCACGTGTTTGCATAATTTTCAAATATTTATTCTTTACCGTGCTTTTGCCATGTAGGTTGAGTCTGTCTACTCTCCACAGACTGTTGATGTTTGGAGGTCTTTGGCAATAAGATATTCGTCCTGTCATCTGCAGTCCCTTCAGAGCAGTCCTAAGTTATACCTAACCAGTAACTCAACATGGAGACTGACAGAATTGGCTTTAGTTTCCAGGTAATCACATAAAGGACTCAGTGAAAGTGCACAGAGGAGCAGGATAAAGTTTTACAGGTCAGAGGTGAGGTAGAACGCACCGGCCCAGTGTCTCTCTATGCTAACCTTTTGTTGTACCCCCCCTAGTTGTTTTTAGAGGTGTTTAACATTTAAGAACATTACTAATTATTTGCAAGAGCCAAACTGAGTGACATTCACTCCTTTTTTTTTTTTTCCCTCTTTCCTGACGTGGCTTGAGGTAGCCCTCCTTAAAGCTCAGCTTGCACCTTGAGAATTGAAAGAGGGTAATGGAATGTACTGACAGCGCGGCGTTGCACTGCTGCTAATTGGGCTCGATCACTGTCAAACAGGGTCAGGCATCTGCATCACTCTTGCAGGGAATATTGGAATGGAGGTGGTAGTGGCATCATCTCCATTCAGGAGCTCTCTTGCCTTGCAGTGAGACTGAACATTGCTTTAATTGAGCTACACAGATGGACATGTGATCCTTAAGGAGCTGAGGGAGATGGGACAAACTTCTAAAGGTTGTAGGAGTGTTTTGTAAAGCTGTTATGCTTTTTCATTAAAGACTGCATTTTTTGGTTGTTTTTTTTTTGTTGTTTTTTTTTTTTTTCGCACGTGTGTTGAGGTTTTGGCATTGAAATGTCAGTTCCCCTCAAGATTTTGCATTGCTCTATGTGGTGGTTGCTCTGGTTGTCAAGCTCTCTGCTTGTAAATGCTTGTTCATCTGTTCTCTGAAATATGGCAGTCTTCAAAAAGACTGACTGGAGGGGACGCGATTATACAGGCAGTGATACGAGTCTGAAGATGACACCAAAGTGTCAGCCATCACTGAAACACATCCTTTGCCCCAGTTTCAGATCTTTGGGGAATTCTTTCCCAAATGCTTCTTATGTGTTCAAACGCATTATTTTATCCTAGCAAATTATAAACTGTATTGTTTATTTGAATAAATGTCATGACAAATCTAATTTTTTGGAGTACTGTGTGAGTCATTAGAGTAGGTTTTCTCTCATCTTAATTACCTTAACATCCATGAGTCACTAATTCCCCCCTTTTTTTTTTCTTCTTTTTTTTTTTTAAAGCAGTGTTGTGTTCTGCAGACCTTGCCAGACTGTCTTCCAAAATGACATGGAATTAATTTGATAACTTTTAAATAATAATTTAAACTTTTTTAGTTTATTCAGAGTGTTCTATAGCAATCAGGTGGTTTTGTTTTGTTTTTGTCATTTTAATTCTCTCAAATCCTAAACTTATGATGATACAAGGTGAATGGATAAAAGATGGGCTGTTTTCTCCAAGCTGTCTTGCAGTAACACCAGCTGTAGCTTTGCTCATTAGGCTAATGTACTCTCCAGGGTTTTCATTGTGTCTGCTAGTAGTTCATGAACATCTCAGCTTAACGGTTGGAGTAACAGAAGCAGCTACTCACATTAAATTGACATCCAAAAGACTATTAATAGTTTTATAAATATCTTCAATTTGCACTATCAAAGATGTCTTGGTAGTGTAAAAAATGTTTGGGGTGGAGTTAGTTGTTTTACATGAAAATATTAAAGTGCAAAATGTTGCAAACATTTTTTTTTTTTGTTTGGGTGTTTTTTTGGGGGGAGGGAGGGGCGATTTAATTTTTGCAGCATCACTCATTTAAGTGTCTGAGGTGTTTTGAAAGTGTGTCATTATGAAGACTTCCACTGTTGTACTGTCACTGGTATAAACCAAGTCCATCCCTGGAATTGCATTTTTAAAATAAAGAGCATTTTTGACAGTATAATGTGAATGTAAGAGTTACGTTTTCAGCCACATGATGGGGACAAAGACACCAGTTCTGACAAACATGATTACTAATTGTGAGTTTCAACGTCGAATGCACGGTGTTAAAATGGAAGGTGTGACACAGAACACATTATTTTTGACAGCTTATCCATATTTAGCACCAAACAATAACATTTGTCTCAAGGTGCTTTGTACAAGTTAAAGATCCAACAGTAAGACATAGGAACCTTAACAATCAAACGCCCCTTTTGAGCAAGCACTTGGAGATAGTGGGAAGGAAAAACTCCCTTTTAACAGGAAGAAACTCTGGGCAAAAATCAGGCTTGGGAAAAAGCAGTCATCTGACACAACTGGTTGGGGGTGAGGGGAGGAAGAGAGGACCCAAAATTCATAACTTGTGATTAAATGAAAATGGTGTATAAGGACAGAGTTAAGAAGAAATGCTCAGTGTGTCATGGGAGGCCCCCAGCAACTTTAAGCCTATTGCAGTGTAACTAAGCGTTGAAATTGTTTTTAGCAAAAAGGGAAGTTTTAAGCCTAATCATAAAAGCAGAGAGGGTGTCGGTCACCTGAATCTGAATTGGGAGCTGATTTGACAGAAGAGGAGTTTGAAAACTTAAGGCTCTGCCTCCCATTCTACTCTTGAATATTTTAGGAACCACAAGTAAACCAGCAGTCTGAGAGCAAAATGCTCTGTTGGCGTGATATAGTACTATGAGTTCTTTAAGATAAGATGCTGCTTGACCTTGTATGTGAGGAGAAGGATTTTAAATTAAATTCTGGATTTACCGGGCAAGCCAATGAAGAGAAGCCAATATGGCAGAAATATGCACTAATGAATTATAATAGTCCAGCCTAGAAGTAATAAATACACAAACTAGTTTTTCAGCATCACTCTGGGTGTATGGTTGATTAATAAGCTGATGTGGACGATTGCTTCCGCTCGTTCTCCTTGGCCTGTTCTTTGAGGATTCTAACAGTATGACTTAAACTAACATAATCATCCTGCTTTAATCAGGTTTCAATTCATTCGTTTAGGAACACATTATAGCTTTACAAGAAGTCTTAACATTGTTTTTTTTTTTCCCCTTCTCTTGAATATTTAGAGTTGAGAAGTGACAAAACACGATGGTGAGGCAAATGCTTTAATTCAGTCTGTAGAAGTAGGAAAATCATACAAAACAAAACCACGATTTGAGGTTCAGTCATAAGTTTCACACTGACTGTATACAGCACACTCGGCTTGTGTTTTTAAAACCTGAGCAGTTTCAACAGAAAAACTACAAAGGGTTGAAAAATTAAAGGAGCTTCCTCTACTTGAGGGACTGGACCAAGCTTCTCAAAGTTATTCAGTGTTTTGACTTTAGTGCTTTCACTCATTTGGTATTTTGCTGATGGTGGTTGAGGGAGCATCCAAGAGCGCATCCATAGGTGTCCAGCTGGTTACATCAACTATAGTATATATTATTTACATCTTTCCCATCAGCCACTCAGTGAAACCCGTGTTCCCTGTGTACAGGGGCACTGTCATCTTGAAAGAGACCATTTCCATCTGAACAGAAATGGGCAAAGGTGGCGGCTCAGAGCAACTTTGCATTGATTTGCAGTGTAAATTTGCATCATTGTAAGGGTCAACGTTTTTCCATTTAATTCATCACCGGTCTTTACATTACTTACAATAAGGCAACCACCATCATCAGGGTCAAGATCAGTTTTCTGCATTAATGCTATATGTGACTGGCACTGCATTACGGTACAGTACGGTGCTTGAAAGTAATGCTCATTCAAACTACGCCAAGCCACTAATTTCCCTCTGCTGCACTGTTTCAAAAGAAAGGTCAGGATGACTTAAAAAAATAAATACTCCACTGATGCTCGCAGTTTATAAAAGTAAAGGGGCACAGTGAGGCAGTGATTTCTTTCGTGTCATCAAAATTTAATTTATTAAAATAAAGTTACCGCATAAATGATAAGAATGTAAAAAAAAAAAAAAAAAATGAGCTAAACACTGAACATAGCCCATCACTAAAGAAAGCACAACTTTGTGCTTACATAACAGGCAATTTTTAGGTGACTTCATTATTTTATATAAAAGATGAAGTAGAAAAAAAATAATCCAGTTCACCTTCATTCTCGAGGAACCTTTCGTAAGTGAGTTAAGAAAAAAAAAAAATGCTCAGCTGTCGTTGCGCTCACAGAGGTGTCATAGCATTGTGTGTACGTGCCTGGAAATTAGTCTTCAATTTTGAGCCAGCCTTTTTTATAGTCTATGAGAAGCTCGAGGTAGTACTTCCACTCTGGCTCGCTGTCATACCTGACCTCAAATATGGTCTTAAGGGGGTTGGGGTGAGCCTCGTGGATGCGCAGCACCTCCCCTCTGTACCACACCTCTGATTTGTCAACTTCCTCGTACAGATGGCGGATCCTCTTTCCCACCAACTCGGGGTAGCAGAACCTCATGGCCCTCTGAGCCCTCTGCACAGCTGAACGCAGGACCCATCGCCTCCTGTGTTCGGCGCTGTGACAGGCAGACAAGTACGGACAGTATTTGATCTCCAAAAGTGATCTATGTTTTCTTTTAGAAGAGCTGCCAAGGGGTCTTAAAGCATGAGAGAGGCTTCCTGTTCTCCCCCACCTGTGCTTTGCTTTGGGTGTCCTCCTGTGAACGTCGGCCTCACCGATCACACTCTCCCCGTCATCAGTCTGTGAGATGGAAGTATCAGCAGATGTCTCCGACTCTGACACTGCTTGGTATCGAGCTTTTTTTCTCTTTAGACCTTCACTAAGTATCTTCCTCAGTTTAACAATGACTCCTGAACAATTCTTAGAGTTTTCCTTAGATTTGACTGATGGTGAGGACTGACCAACGTGCCACCTGCTGGAAGATCCCTCAGTTTCTGCGTCGCTCGGGAATGGGGATAGCTCGTCCAGTGTTAAAGGACACATCCATGAAATATATGGATTCTGCTCTGAAACCATATAATCAGTCCCTTTATTATCACTCTCCTGGGGCTCATGGGCGCTGCAGTTTTTCTTTGCAGTTGTGCTGACAGTGCTTTCAGCTACAACCTTGTCCGTATCCCCTCTCTCTTCCTCATCTGACAACCTGTTTTCTAGAAACGTACGCCTCGAACTGCTCTTTACTCTTCTTTTAGTTTTATTCCTGTTCAAATGCAATTGTGTTTCCTCATCCTCTGAACATCTCTGGGGTTGCAACTCTGAGTGCGAGGCTGCGGAGGCAGTGGTGTCAGAAAATACAGGAACCCTCCCGCTGTTAGATGCTTCACAGCTTCCATCTTGTTCCCTGTGATCGGAGTCCATATCTAATCCTGCAACACAGGGAAAATGGCAAAAAGAGAGCTCAAAACAAATGCTGAAATATCGCAGATAAATATAGGATTCTGCTTCCTCACAAAGTGGGAAGATTAGAGGCAAAGGAATTTATGCAGTGATCAGGGAAACAGTTACAAGTGAGCAGCAAGTCAGAAACAGACTTTCAGGATTTCTGACAAGGAAATATAAAATACTTGGTTTCCTAAAGAGCTTATTTCACACCTAAACCTAAGGATTTCAGCTTTTGCACATCATGATCCTCCACCACGAAACACCCTTACAGCAAAGATGGAAGAAAAGGCTATGGGAATAAACACTAAGGCTGGGAAAAAGTCAGCTGCTGCGAGGGGTGCTATCAGTCACGGATAAAACAGCAGTGAGGCAAGAGGAGGGCAACAGAAATGTTCAGACACTAGAGTCAAGTGCTCCAAAACCATGTGAACCTATGTCAGCAGTGAACAGCGGTTCAATTAGGCCAAGTTCAGTAGGTTCAGGAAGCAAATACAATCGAAGCTGTT